GCTCAAAGGCATTGATTGGAGTTTTCTGTTAAAAATAGGAGCTTTTCACTTAGCTTATTGCTCTCTAAAGTGCAAAACAGGTAAATTAGCTCCATTAGGGCGATTAAATAGATTGCACAAGCTAAGGAGAATCAATCCATCTGGGGTAAACAACATAAATGAGTCACCTGACCGCACAGATGTTGCTTTCATTTCTTTTATGGGGTAGATTGGAAACATTAGTGGATGTTGCATCCATTAAGATGTTTATGACTAACCTTGGTCTGGAGGGTCTGGATCCCAGGCTGCCCACAGCTGGACAATGAAGAAAGGTGACCAGCAGATCGTATACACCAGCACAATGACCAGGGTCATCCTCACCGTCTTTGACATGGCTTTAGTGATACTCGGAGGTGGGGTGGCGGGGCAGTGAGGGGGAGCATAATCAAGGGAGCAGCGAGGAGAGTTGGTGTAGGGCTCCTGGCAATCTGAGCCGTTCACTGTTTGCTGATGCGCTGATGTTCTTGTTGTTGTCACATGTTCCCCGTGGCAACTGTTGCACTGAATATCAGGTGGTACATAGTCATAACATTCTCCCACTTGGCTGTTGGGTGTGTTATTGTGGGGGTTGTTATTTGCAACCTTTAAGAGTTGTCCTCCTCTTGCGTCCCAGCCTCCTCCTCCAGACGCCCGTCTCCCCCTCTCTCTGGATCGCTCGTCCTCCTTCCTGAAGCTGTGAAAGCGGAAGAGGATTTCGTTTTTCTTCATCTCAGCCATCACCATCCTCTCTGATTTCAGGTAGATGTTGTTGTGAATCTCGCGGAAGATTCTTATCTGAAATATAAGAACATTTTGAGAAATTACAACAGCTCAGTGAGAGGGAAAACTAGACATGACCTAAAAGGCCCGAGGATTACGTTTTATCACGGGAACGTGGCAAATTCAGATGCTTGTGTTTGCTGCAGACTGTCCTGTTTAAGGTTTATGTCAACACTGAACGGAAATTTGAAATGTAACAAAAAAAGAGAGCATGCGTTGGCCTTAACCATCAGCCGTAAACCAGTGTCAGACATTTTTATGTAACATTATTTAACGCCACGATTCCTTCGCTCTATTACATAGCTACCATAAAACCTTATTGCACCAAAATGATTTGTGATATTCTCCGGAGAAACCAAAACAACGACATGAAATCCATTACTAACAGGCGATTCATTCTTGCAACTATTTTTACTTTGATTCTGAAGGTTTGTTACAACTGAAGCTACACATTAATCCACCTTTCCATTCAGTTTATGGGATTTAATCGGGCGAGTCACTTGAAACTTTCTAAATTACCTCCTTCAGCAGAAATAACATCATTCTCTCTTCCAGAAACCTTCTAAATATCCCTCTGGATTTGAAATCTGATATTCAAAATAGTGGAAAAAAGGTCCAGAACTCTATGTTTGGCACAGATCTGGTACATTCCTCTCCCTGGCAGGACGTTTTCAGACTGGGCAGGCATCTCGGCAGTAGACCTCCAAGTGCTGTGTTAATTAGGGGAAAAAGCTGGAACCTAGAAATATCTTTCCCTAAATAGATCAGGACTGATGGGAGGCACCCCAGAATGTCATATCTGCCTGGGGATGCGACATAACACCAGCCACAGTGTCCACAGGTTATTGAACAATGCGTGCCAAATACACTCTTGAAACCAAAACAGCATTTCATTCATGCCACAAGCCTCATTACTGGATAATGTTGCTCTCAGCATGTAATCCTATAGTCAACACTCTTTGTGGACAGTGCAGAGTTCAGCCAGTACAACTAGAATTACCTGACAGATGGTGATGATGAGGGCGGGCAGGAGGAAGACAGCTACCGTCATCCAGGTGACGTAGGCTTTCAGCCCCCACAGCTCAGCAAAGTGACCCCAGCACTCGAACTCACCGGGAGCCACTTCTGAGCGAGAGAAGATGAACACCTGACAGAAACAACACGAGAAAAGTGGTCAGCACACCCACAGACACTGATAATCTGAAGCTAAAAATAGACAAACATCTTGAGTTCTCCTGTGGAAATCAAGCTGCCTGTGCGTTCCTTCCTACCTGCGGTATGCTGAGGAGCAGCGCCAGGGCCCAGGCCACCATGACAGGAGTGTTCCAGCGGGACACTGTGCCCCCTCGGTAGGCCTGCAACGGGCAGCAGATGGCATGGTGCCGGTCTACTGTCATGGCAACTATCATATAGGAGGAAGCAAACATGCCAACAATCTGCATATACTTGATGGACCGGCATAGCAAATCCGGCCCTTGAAACCTCTCTGTAATGTCCCATATTAGCTGAGGAAGAACCTGAACACACAGATAAAAAGTAGTTATTTTTAAAATAAGTGTTTCCTAATATATTCAGCGTATCAACAAGAAGTGCCTGTGCAGCCCGAACCCAATTTAGCACTTTGTCCGAGACTTATCTGGAAATTGCTTGAGCACCTCAGTAAGCCACACCATGGCACTCTTTAATATCCATGAGAAGGGCACTGGGCAAGCCTGTTTTTTCATTTGTTTGTTTTTACCTCAAAAAACACCAGATATGGTCATCCACATACGAAAGTAGTTCTAAAACAAAAAATCATTTATCCTGTTTGAATGATGATTATAATTGCATTGCACAGCTGGACTGGGAAAAGCTGATCTTTTATTTATATATATATATATATAAATAAAAGATCAGCTTTTCCCAGTCCAGCTGTGCAATGCAATTATAAACATCATTTGACTGCCATTTTAAGAAATTTGTGCAGCTGAGTCACCGAGAAGCCAACTGGGTAGGAAAGCAGCAGAGACTTCAGAAAGAAATACAGAGACAATTCATTAGTGTGAAAAGTCCTGACAGAGGCCTCACTCACTGCATCTGAAAACAGACATTAAAGTGCACTATAAGGCAGACAGTTTGTACAGTTATTACAAGTTTGAAAGTCAATATTTGGTATGACCAACTTTATTCTTCAACACAGACTGAGGTCTCTTAGTGAAACTTTCTTGTAATTTCTTTAAGTAGTCTACAGCAGCGGTCCCCAACCCCCGGGCCTCAGACCGGTACCAGTCCGTGAGTCGTTTGGTACCGGGCCGCGAGAGTTGAGGCTCAGGTGTGAAATGTATAGTTTTCAGAGTTTTTATCGGTTTTCAGCGTTATTTTGTTATTGTTTTTATCGTTTACTTGGTTTTCCTGGGTCTTTTCACATGTGTTATGAATAAATCTTCTTTTTTTCAGTACCGGTACTAGTTTTATTTTGCTGTATTAATCCACGACACCTTAAAGGCCGGTCCATGAAAAATATTGTCGGGCATAAACCGGTCCGTGGCGCAAAAAAGGTTGGAGATCACTGGTCTACAGGAATAGTTCTCCAGGCTCCAGGATATTTTTCATTGGGTGTTTTTCTACCTACGTATGCACTGACAGTGTGCTTCCATGGTGGTACTTTTCTGTGTTCATAATTCCATCAATTATGACAAGATCTCCACAAAAGCTCTGCCACGTTGTTCAGATGGCTGCAGACACTCGCTGTTGTGCTTCTCTCCTGACCTCCTCCTACAGTACATATTGACATTTTGAACTAAAAAATGTAAAATATGGATTTGTCCTTCATTCGTCCTGTTGCCACTGATTTTCAGTTCAGTTCTTGTGTAGTTTGGCACACACCATCCTTTTCTTTGTTTCCCTTCCTTAAGAATAACTTCCACTGAGACCATTTCTGATTATGCTTTGGCAGTATAGTATATGAATCAACTGAAGGGCCAGATGCCTTTATCGTTGTGGGGGTATAGCTTAGTGGTAGAGCATTTGATTGCAGCTCAAGAGGTCTCTGGTTCAATTCCAGATACTCCCTGTGGAAGCTTAAAAAGCCTTTCTTAAAAATGGCTTCTTCACAGACAGCTTTCCACCCAGATCTTTTTAACAAACAGTAAAAGGCTCATTCATTTATTAAACACTTTTCACGGACAAGCGGCCTGCTTCTTAACTCAGATAAAACTGAGGTCATTGTACTCGGCGCTGAAAAGCTTAGAAATATGGTATCTAACCAGATTCTTACTCTGGATGGCATTACCTTGGCCTCCAGTAACACTGTGAGGAACCTTGGAGTCATTTTTGACCAGGATATGTCCTTCAACGCACATATTAAACAAATATATAAGACTGCGTTCTTCCATTTGCGCAACATCTCTAAAATTAGAAATATCCTGTCTCAGAGTGACGCTGAAAAACTAGTTCATGCATTTATTACTTCCAGGCTGGACTACTGCAATTCATCATTATTATCAGGATGTCCAAAAAACTCACTGAAAAGCCTTCAGTTAATCCAAAATGCTGCAGCAAGAGTACTGACAGGGACTAGAAAGAGAGAGCATATTTCTCCTGTTTTGGCTTCCCTTCATTGGCTTCCTGTTAAATCCAGAATTGAATTCAAAATCCTGCTCCTCACATACAAGGTCTTAAATAATCAGGCCCCATCTTATCTTAATGACCTTGTAGTACCATATCACCCTATTAGAGCACTTCGCTCCCGCTCTGCAGGCCTACTTGTTGTTCCTAGAGTATTTAAAAGTAGAATGGGAGGCAGAGCCTTCAGTTTTCAGGCCCCTCTTCTGTGGAACCAGCTTCCAGTTTGGATTCGGGAGACAGACACTATCTCTACTTTTAAGATTAGGCTTAAAACTTTCCTTTTTGCTAAAGCATATAGTTAGGGCTGGACCAGGTGACCCTGAATCCTCCCTTAGTTATGCTGCAATAGATGTAGGCTGCCGGGGGATTCCCATGATGCATTGAGTTTTTCCTTTCTAGTCACCTTTCTCACTCACTATGTATTAACAGACCTCTCTGCATTGAATCATATCTGTTATTAACCTCTGTCTCTCTTCCACAGCATGTCTTTTATCCTGTCTTCCTTCTCTTACCCCAACCGGTCGCAGCAGATGGCCGCCCCTCCCTGAGCCTGGTTCTGCCGGAGGTTTCTTCCTGTTAAAAGGGAGTTTTTCCTTCCCACTGTCGCCAAAGTGCTTGCTCATAGGGGGTCATATGATTGTTGGGCTTTTCTCTGTATCTATGAAGCGCCTTGAGGCGACATTTGTTGTGATTTGGCGCTATATAAATAAAATTGAATTGAATTGAATTGAATTGAAAAGGAGCGAGACAAAGATTTCACATGCGAGAGCAGTTGGGCAGAAGAACCTGACTGATTTTAAAATGTAATTCAGCAGGAGCTATAATTATGGTCTCAGTCTTGTTAGCATTTAAAACAAGGTAATTACTAGAGAGCCAGTCAGTATTCTTCCTGAGTTAAGCTGTGGACTGGGGTGGACAACCTATCAAGCTGAATGTCATCAGCATAGAAATGATTTTAAAAAAATGTAATTAAAAATTTGAATAATGGCAGCTAGAGGAAGCATGCAGAAAGAAAATAATAATGAAAATCCCTTTTTAACCCCACAGGATAGGGAGGAAATGTTAGAGGTGAACTTGTTTGTTCTAACAGAGAAGGTCCTGTCAGAAAAGTAAGAAGTAAATAAGTCTAAAGCACAGCCAAATTCACCGGCCAAAACCTGAAGCCTATAAAGCAGGATTTTTATGGTCAGTGGTATCAAAGGCATCACTGAAATCAGGCAAAATGAATACAGAACAATTCCTCCATCAGAAGCCTTCAACAGCATGGTCTCAGTGGACCTGCTTTTGAGAGCAAGACTGTAAAGAGTTAAAAATCTAAAATTTGCATAGTAAAGATCTGAACTTATTTTCTGCTGTTTTTTCTAATATTTGCTTATAAATAGTCTTTTTTTTAAAAATTTTGTTTAATTACCACATTCGAAAAACAGGTAAATTAGCTCCATTAGGGCGATTAAATAGATTGCACGAGCTAAGGAGAATCAATCCATCTGGGGTAAACAACATAAATGAGTCACCTGACCGCACACGCACAGATGTTGCTTTCATTTCTTTTATGGGGTAGATCTAGACCACATTTGAAAAAGGTCAGGTACAAGGACTGGACTGAAATAACTGAAAAAGCCTCCAATGGCCAAAGAAATGCTGGAGAACTATTGCTCATGACCACTTTAAAAATTACAGGAAAGTTTGAAAGTCTGGAGGCAAAGTAAAAAAGAAATGCACAGTATTTATATTATTGGTATTTTTGTGGAACAGTGTATACAGCTGTAACAGATCCAGACAGTATATAACTCACAATTACAGAATAAGCCCAGTTAAGTGGGTTTATAGTTTAACGCAGTTAAGTGAAAAAGAAATTCCCATGGAAGATAAAAATCAATATTAAGATGAGCAAGTTTTCAGTGTGACAAAAAATGTTAGTAAAGATGAAATATTTAGACTCAAAAAGAAATAAACATTTCTTACTTATGGCATAAAACAAAACAAAACAGGCCTTTAACAAACTGAGACCATTTT